TAAGCTCTGCTGCTAAATGTTTCAGGTTGTCTCGTTTCTTTTGCAGTCTTTTCTTCCTGCCTCCACTTCTAGGGCTGTTGCTGATCTTTTACCCTTCACACTTTCCCTTTGGGGAGCTCCTCAATGCTCAGGACTTCTTCAGTCACACCTCAAAATCCATTTCTAGATGCTTCCCCGTTTCACACCCAGTCCCAGCTCCATTTCTCCAGTTTACTGTCCAGTTCTTCTTCTTCTTCTTTTTTTTTTTTTTTTACAAATAGTTTATTGTCAAGTTGGTTTCCATATAACACCCAGTGCTCATCCCCACAAGTGCCCTCCTCCATGCCCATCTCCCCTCCGCCCCCCACACCCATCAGTCCTCAGTTTGTTCTTAGCATTCAAGAATCTCTCATGGTTTGCCTCTCTCCCTCTCCCCCACTATTTACCCCTTCTTCTCCCCCATGGTCCTCCATTAAGTTCCTCCTAATCCTCCTATACGTGCAAACATATGGTATTTGTCCTTCTCTGCCTGTACTGTCCAGTTCTTCTTGACTGAGTTACCATTATCTCAAACTCAACCTGTCCACACCTACTTGAATGGAGAGACGGTTTTAAACAGACCAACAGAAAGTCACCCTGGGAGGGGCCTTTAGAGAGCCCAATTCCTCATGGTGAAGGCGATGGAACTGAAGTCTAGGGAAGTGAAGTTCTCAGTAATGACATAAGAGGGCTGGCCAGGAACAGGAGGCCGGCTCCCTGGGGCTTTGGGAGAGGCCAAGTGATCTGCTCAGGGCACCAAGCTAGTTAGTGGGGACAGATCTGGGGTCGGCCTCCCTTCTACCACAGAGATAGTTCATAAGCGTCCTCTGAAAGTGAGTTGGGGTCTCTATGAAACTGGCTACCCAGGAGGAGCCACGGTGGGGAAGGCACCAGCTTGGGCTTAAAGCAGTTTCACACTAGGTTATGATGTCTTTTTCTCTCCTCTCCTTTTTTTTTTTTTTTTTTTTTTTGGGCTTGGAGGCATGGAAGATTCAAGGCAGAAACTGAGATTTAAACAGGGAAAGCCAAGAAAGGCAACATCTCACCTCGCTAATAAATTGTAAGTAGGTGGCGAAGGAATGTGCCAGAGTAACGAGTGGCCAAACAGAATCCGCCAACAATACGTGACTCTGAAACCAGGGGAGGCACTTGCCCAGAACGGGCAATTCTGATGCCTTGGGTGAGCAGCACTAACTAAATGGGCCCTCAATCAACTTTGTGCTTCATGATTTGGCACACAGAGGGGTGTTATTAACAATGTGTACCATCTGCTAGCTCCCGTTTTAACTAATTATTCTTGCTAACTAGGTGCTAAGCTCAGTTGCTTCCACACTGCTGAAGGAATACTTGGGCTGTCAACATGTAAATTCAACAGAATTTAAAATCACCTGAGCTTTTAAAACCAGTGTTAATGCTGTCTGGTGCCCTGTAACTTTTGGTGTCCCAGCACAAAGCCCCAGCCACCTGCCTTGGCTCTGTGTAGGTCTCGCCTATGGACTTTGGATGAGCAAAGTGCAGACTAAGCTAGAAAGGGATGTTGGGGGTGGGGAGCCTAGCAGCTCGGGGAGGGGAGAAGTCTAGGTTTTGACCAAACAGACAGAGAATCGCTGAAGATTAATGAGAAAGGCACCATGACTACCCAGGTGTCTCATAAGCCTGCTCTAAATTGTGTGATCACTATACTAAAGTGCTTAGGAGCTGGGTGCTGTTTTCTGATAGATACATTTTTTGGAAAAAAAACAGAGAAGCAGCCGTTCTGGTTTCTGCTCCCCACCCCTTTGAGAAACTTCACAGTGCAGATTTGGAAGCTGCTGGACAGTAACCATCCTTAAGGGAGCAGCTTATCCCATTGCAGGATAACAATTATTAACAGGCAGATCCCATCTCAGATTGCTAATAAGTACCCTATCCTGCTGTTCTCCGCCCTGACACTGGCCATACAGAATTACCTGAGAATTGTTTTTGACTCATCCTGACTATTTCCCATTTCTTGACACTGGGTTAGGAAGAAAAAAAAAAAATCTTGGTTGGTTCCCACTAAATGTCTCTTGGGCATATCCTTTCTGGTCCCACTGCTGCTGCTGCTCTGGACCTGAACGACAGAAATAGCTTCCTTGCTAACATCCTTAGCTCAGAGTCTCTTCTACTCTGATATATCCTCTTACCAGTGCCAGACTATCCTTTTAAAATACAACCATTTTCATCTTGCTCAAAACCTCACGTGGCTTCTTATTTCCTCCAAGCACATCCAAGCTCCTTTGACAGGCTATGGAGGCCTTGTCCTTTGTCCTTCCACCAGCACTCCCGAGCCTGTGCTCTCTGCTGTGGATTCACAGGGCTCCCTCTCCCTTTCAGTCCCTCCTTGGCTGGCTGCTCATGTCGCAGGGTCATTTGGAACCCTGTCCCTACTCCGTCTGTCTGGTCTCGCCCCCTCCTCGAGGTCTAGCTCAAGTCCCCCTCTGAGCCCGGGCTGTACGACTGGTTCAGTGGACCTGGTCAGGGTGAGAGGCTGTTTCCCCGACAGGATTTAGGCATGAAGTTGCCATGCACATTTCATATGGCCAGTCAGCAATTGGCCCAGGATCCTAGATGGCTCCCTTCCCCCTCGGGATCAAGGTCCCAATTTCGGTCTCTGTCCAGCAGCCTATGCCAGGAAAGGTGACTCTCTTGGACACACATTTGGCTCTCTCCAGTGCTCTTTCGAGTATCTGCCAAATGGTTCCTTAAAAATGGAATGACTTTATACGGTCTATCATACCACGGTTTACATTGTTTAAGGTACCCTTCATCTAAGATCATCAAATTATTTCTTCCAGCATTCTAATCTGTTCACACAATTCTATACTATCCATCTAGGGTAGATTCTCCCTTCTCTAGGGAATAGAGCATGTGCCCTGAGCCTGAGGGAAGAGTGGCCTCGTTTGCCAGATATTCCTATTTTCTTGGGTAGCTGGGAGGCTGGTGCCAAGTACCAACTCTGACACTGGCTTAGACTCTTTCTTTTTCCTTTTTTTCCCCCCAAGTCTGTTTATTTATTTTGAGAGAAAGAGAGCACCTGTGAGCAAGAGAGGCAGAGAGGAAGGGAGAGTGAGAGAATCCTAAGCAGACTCTGTGTGCTGTCAGCCAGGAGCCAGAGGCATGATCTGAGATCATGAGCCTGAGATCATGATCTGAGCTGATACCAAGATCCTACGCTCAATCGGCTGAGCCACTCAGGGGCCCTTTAGAAACTTTCTTTGAGACTAAAGTCCCAACTGTGCACCAAAGGGCTGACCTGATGCTAATGGAGAAATGCCTGGTGGTCTACAGTCAGCTTGGCAGGTGACTTACAGCTCTTCCTAACTGGCTGTGGGACCTTGGGATGTCGGAGCACGAAGTTCTGAATGTTCCAAACAGGGAGAATAGTCCTTGCCTTGCTTGGGTTGTTGTCAGATAACCCATGAAGGCTCTGAGCAAAGTGAATGGCACACAGCAGGTGGCTGAAACATGGTGAGGGTTCCTCCTAGAGGAGGCACTTGAATCTATAAACTAAAGAACGGTGGATCGATTATTAGCCCATGGGTGGAAACATCTATTTTGTGATTGTATACACCCTTCTCATCTGCCCAATTAGATTGGAAACTACTGGAGAACCAGGACCAGCTTGTTTTCTGGGGACCAAAGGGATGATGCAGGATTGAAGCATTAGAGTGGTTTTTGATTCTCTGACTGGGATGGGATGATTCTCAGAGATGCAATAGAAAGGCACACAAAAATGTGCTGGTGGATTGGTGCTTAATGCATGGTTATGTTTTAGTCAATAATGTGGGCCTGGATCACGCCACTGTTGTGTAGGAAGGCAGGGAAGGATTAGACTGGCTCCTTTCTGTCACCTCCTGGCTCTGTGCCCATACCCTTGCCACTCACCATGGCCACCAGCTGCTCCCGGTCCTTGGCCTTTCCCACGTGGCACACGGTGCCCACCACGCTCAGCCCCTCCGCTTGCAGCGCCGCCACTGCGCGGTCCACGTTCTGCTGCTTCCGGCTGCTGACCACCACGTGGGCCCCGTCCTGGGCCAGGCGTCGGGCGATGGCGAAGCCGATCCTACCGGCAGAGAGTAATGGCGGTCAATGCCAGTGGTGGGGGAATGGTTGAGAGATGAGCTCTGGAGTCAGAATGCCTGGGTTTGAATTCCAGCTCTCCATCTGTATGACCTGCTGTCTACCTTATATGTAAGAAGGCTAACCACACAACCATTACCATACAGATGGACCTGCTTCACATGTTTTTTAGCACTCATTTATTTTTCCTATGGTTTGGTGATCAGGCTATGTTCCTAGGAACTGACACGACCTTCCACAGGCACCCCCACAGGATGTCCCCATACCCTGTAAAGACTGAAAGGTTAGAAATGAGCTAGGGGTGTAGTAACAGCCACTTCCATGATTGGAGGGTCTCATTAGATCTCCCCTGGCCTCCAGATACCTTCCTTACTAGTCTGGATCATCTCAAAATTCTGTCGTTAATTATGTTTTGGGGTGTATGTGAAAGGATGGGTCTCTAAAAAACGTAAATTTTTTATAATACTCCTCTGGGAGTAAGGGTTACACGTTTTGCAGTTGTAGGCTATTAGCATTTCGCATACATCGCATTTTGGATTTGCTGGCATCTAGCAAAGTCCTGTGGGGATGAGAAACAGGGATAGACAAGAGTGGTGGGTGAGAAACAGGTTGGGAAAGGGCAAAATGTACTGAGCTAAACAAAAACCTGAACACACGGGTCTTTGTCCCGTTCAGGTAACGGGCACCAAACGGGGAGTCTGGAACATTTCCATAGGCGATGGAGGCGGAGGGACACGATTTTTGAAATCTGCACTATCTAGGATTTCTGGTGTTTGGTCTTCCCGGACTCTAGGTGGGGCCGTTTGATTGGGGCAGCCCGGAGTGACTGAGAGCCTGGATTTATGGAGGCAGTACTGAGGTGGCGCAGTCGAGCCAGAGGCAGCAATGGCAGGAGACTGGCAGGAGTGGAGGCAAGGCAAGAGGATTCGGTGAGGCTGCAAGGCCGACCACGTGGTTTTCTTTTGGGGCAGACTTTTCTCGGGAGTGAGGCCCGAGGACTCGAGCCGGAAAGCAAAGGTCAAGAGTACAGTACTTGTTTCCAGATAGCGGTGGGGGGAGATCTCAGAGACTCCGGCCCGGGCACTCACCCGTCGGTGGAGGCCGTTACTAGGGCCACCTTATTGGCGAGCGGGTCCCGGCGTGCCATCCCTGAGCTGGCCATCCGCACAGACTTCCACGCCCGCGTGCAGCAGTTCAGCAGCAGCACGGCCTTCTGCATGGCTGCCCGGACCTTGCAGGGCTCCGCGCCGCCCAGTATAGGTGACCCTTAGTGGGCCGCCTCCCGGCCCCGCTCCCCGCCCCGCTCCCCGCCCCCCTCTCCGCCCCGTTCCCCGCCCCCCTCTCCGCCCCGTTCGTCTCCTTGCTCCCCGCCTGGCCCTCCTCCCCCCAGCCCTGGGGCTGGACCGCAAGTCTTGCACCACACGGGCTCCTCACACCAGGAGCCGGCTGTGGCCGCTGGCGCCCCCTGCTGGCGCACGGCCGTCCTCGGCGGAAGTAGAACAGTGCTGTCTGCCAGGGCTGTCAGGGTTTCCTCTAGGGCCGGCTCTTTTGCGGGAACCCACAGACTTACCCGCCCTTGGCAAAGCCCCTCCCCCCCAATCTGCTTGACCCTCTTATTTGTCGGGGTGATGGGGAGAGCTTTGAGTTGATTGCTTTTCCCTCCCAGAACTTCAAGATGGACCTCCTACTCCAAGAAAGTCTGGGTCTACGTATGTGATAACTCAGAAGAGGGCAAATGCTTTGAAATTGCCCATGGAAGTGAAGCCTGTGGTCCTCGCAGAGTCACCAGGTGAGGGTCTCCGATGAGGGTAGAAGAGCCTGGGAGACAGATGTGATGGGGAGGAGTAGCTAGGTCTGGCACTACACACTGGCTCAGGATCTCCTCCATCTTCACAATCCTGGAGGGCGGACTCTGATCCACTATGGTAACCAGCAGGCAGGGAAGAAGATTCTGACTGGACAGGACTTCTCATACCCTCTACCCCAAGAGGACCGTCCCACTGTACAGGGCCTAAGTGGTAGCAAGAAGTGAGAAGATCTCCCAGCCAGTGGTGGAAATACAAACTCAGGAGTACTCAGTTCTCCGTAATCACCATGTCCCCAGGTCTTAGCCTCCATCCTAGTTCAATAAATATTTATCGAATGTAAAAGCACTTTATAAACTAGAAACTACTAAACACATAGTAATTTTTGCCACCGTAGAGTAAGTATTACTGTTGCTACAGGCCAGGCTCTTTATCTGTAAACAGAAGATGCTGGAGGAGATGATGAATAAAATCCTCTCTAGCTATAAATTCTGCGTCCAAGACTTCACTGTACACTTCTGCCGAGCAGGCTGAAATGATCTCCCTTCTGGGTGTCTGGGAGAATTAATAAATCTGTATGGCTTGTGGGATACTGTAGAAAGGCCCCAACAGACCCAAGTGTTAGTATCTGCATTGGTTTAACCCAGTGGCCTCCAAAATGGCCAGGCTGAGAAGCGGTGCTGATCTGTGGCAAAGTTTTCACTCGTTCAAGGTAAACTGAGACGAGTAAAGACAATGTAGTGAGTTTCATAAAGCTAATTTAATTTAATAGTTCTTTATTTTACTCCTTTTTGGGGTGTGTGTGTGGCAGTCTTTTTGTTAAGAAAAGTTGATGAAAGCAGATGGCTAAGTTGAAAAAAATATAGTTAGCTGGTAAAATCACCAGTTTGGCAACTCTGTGTCAGTCTTTACAATTCGCAGAGAGAGAATCCTGGTCTGTGAAATGCTGGGGAGCGCTGTTTAATAGAATTCATGCTTGCTAGAGATTCGCATCGTATATGTGTAGTTCTGCAAAGAAGCTAAAAACGGATTTCAGCATTCAGAAGGGGATGTATGGGTAGTGAGTGATCTATCAGGCACGCACTGGATTTATAGTATATTCCTCAACCAAGAAGCTACAGCTGCAGTACTCAGCTTTGGTACTCAGCATATCCTGATGAGATAAGAGAGCTTACGTCTAATTTTCCCCGCATCCGGGGAAAACTGACTCTCCGACTGGTGCCCCTCAGTCTGAACCTCATGAATTATTGACAACAGAGGCTGGATAGCATGACACTCCTCTTCCTCCTCCCCTGTTCAGAGCTAATGCACTGTGGGAACCCTTCCCAGTGCTCTCCACCGGTGGGCCTGTGTGTGGGGGGGCTATATAGGAAGATTGGAGCAGGGGTTCTCAGGGCTTGGGGTTCTCAGGGCTTTGGGTTCAAAGGGATAGGCCTTCAGGGCATATCTGATCTCTCTCCACCTCCTGCTCATTGGTGGGCAGTCAGATGCAGGGGCTGAGGTTGGGGAGAAGATGAGGGAGACCATACCTCAAAGAGCAAAGGGTCCTGAAAGGGGATAATTCTGGCCTGGCAACTTGGTGAACATCACATGACCCCTCCTTGTCTGGGCAGGGTTGATATATGGCCTCTGGCACCATTTCTTTTGGAAGAGCACAGGGAGATTAGGGAGAGGATCTGTGAACAGAAAAGGGTAGAGGGAAGGTAAGGAGTGTGGGAGTCTCCAGCTGCTACTCTTCATCAAGTTGATTTGTTGGAGATGGGGGCAGGAAATCTTTGGGGGAAAAACATGCGTGTGTAGGAGTCTCTTTGAATGGGGAGCATTAATAGGCAATGGGATTGCTTTTGTATGTATGGAGGTGGTACTGATGAGGGAGCAAAAGGCAAGCTGAGGGCAAAGTGAGGCCCCATCCCCAGTGGGATTTGTGTGCTATTCCTCAGGCACCTCTGGCTGCCCAAGAACAAAGGAAAGGAGAAAACAAATGGTTAACTGATAAGAGATCACAGTCATACAGGACAGGAATCTCCATCAGTTTACAAATACCTTAGTAAATTACAAGAAAAAAGTGATTTTATCAATAGCCTAATCTCCAGGACCTATTGATGGGGTTTTGGGGTAATGATGGCCAAGAAAAAATTCTTGAAGACGTCGCTGGTACAAAAAAGGTGAGTTTATTAAAGCATGGGGACAGGACCTGCGGGCAGAAACAGCTGCATTGGGGTTGTGAAGAATGACTGGTTATATACAATAGACTTGGGGGAGGTAGAGTCAAAAGGGACCGTCTCCAAAGAGCTTTTCATATGCTGAAGACTCACAGATTAATGGAGGTCTAGCTGTAGTCAAGCTAAGGTTGTTTTTCCCTCTAGCAGAGCATTAACATTAAGACAGTAGGGAGTTCCTGGACTTTAGGCTATTGATAAGATTGCCCCCCCCTTTTTAAATAATTGTCCTAAGATATTTGTAAACTGATAGAGACTCCTAGTTTAATCATCTGTTTTCTGTCCTTTCCTTCGTTCTTGGGCAGCCAGGAGTGCCTGAGGAATTGTCACGTGTATCCCATCTGGAGGGGTGTGTGTGTGGGGGGGGGTCGGAATGCTAGCTTGTACTTTGCCTTCAGCCTGCCTTATGCTCCCTCATCAATATAGACTCAGCTTCCTGGAGCCCCAGTAGTGATGTGGGGAACAAAGGCAAAAGGAAATGGCAGAATAAAACTAAATTTCCTTACAGCCTGCAGCCCATTGACAAACACTTGAGGCAAATACAGAGTAATGTCTTGTTAGAGGGAAAACAATCTTAGCTTGACAATAGCTAGGCCTCTAGTATTTCAGGAGTCTTCTTTAGCATTTGAAAGGCCTTCTAGAGGCCTCACTTTTGCCTTTACCACCCCCAACTCCATAGTATATAGCCAGTCACTCTTCACAACCCCAGTGTGGCTCTTTCTGCGCTTGGGTCCTGTCCCCCTTGCTTTAATAAATCACCTTTTTGGTACCAAAGGTACGAAAAGAATTCTTTCTTGGTCAGCTGCTCCAAGCCTCCCATCACTCTAAAACTCCCTCAGTACCATGTGTAGATCCTGAGGAAGTGCCCTCATTATTGAGGAGTATACTCTGATCTTCCTCAAGGGCTGACATTCACCTGAGATGGAATTTTTTTGGGATACATTTTTTAACGTTTATTTATTTTTGAGAGAGAGAAAGACAGAATAGACAGAGTGCAAGTAGGGGAGAGGCGGGGTGAGGGAGAGACACAGAATCCAAAGCAGGCTCCAGACTCTGAGCTGTCAGCAGAGAGCCCGATGCAGAGCTGGAACTCTTGAACTGTGAGATCATGACCTGAGCTGAACTTGGATGCTTAACAGACTAAGCCACCCAGGTGCCCCCACCTGGGGTGGAATTTAAATCTTGCATTTTGCAACAATCATCTTTGATTGGTCATTGACACAGTCAGAACTGGGCAGCAGGGGAGGGCTGTGGGATAACAACAACCTTTACTGAATACTTAGTAAGCGTGGCAAGTGTTTGGTGCTTTTTATACACTTTATCGACCATTTCTGATCTGGTAAGGTAGGCATTTTTATCTCCATATGTGAAGTCAGTGAGTCATGACAAGCCGACCCACTGTGTATGTTGAATAGCTATGCTTCGTTTTTCTGACTTGGTTGGGGAATGACAGATTTCATAGAAATTAATTTCCTCTGTGTTGGCATTTTACTTTCAGCACCAGTGCACTGTTGTTTTAATCATTAAATATCTAGTCTTTAAATTATAAAAATAACACATGTTCATGATTTTAAAAAGAGACAGAGGTTTTAGAGTGGAAAGTAAACAAGTAACTTCTCTGTGCTTCTTTTGCCTGCTCCCCAGATAGCTCTTGGTCTTGTGTATCTTTCCAGAAGTTTCTATCCATTTACATGCATTTTTTCCCCTAAAAATGTTTCCCGTGAATGGAATAACAGTATACATGATTTCCTTCAAATTACTTGCTTCTTTCCTTTCTCCCTTTTTCTACCTTCTTTCTTTCATTTCTTAAAATACATTCTTAGAAAATGTTCTGAGTGGTATACAATAGATCTACTTTATTCTCGCTCTCCCTTTTAAAAATAGCTGTACAGTATTCCATTATGTGGATATTCCATAATTTATTTAGCCAGTCTCCTACTGATGAACATTTAAGTCACTTTCAGTCGTTTGCTGTTTCAAATAATACAACCTCGGGTGCCTATATTTTTTGTGTTTGGTGCAAAATGCATTTGTACCTTGGGTCAAATGTTTTAAATTGATGGCCAAGGTCAAATTACCTTAAAAATGATTTGACCAGATCTGATGGGTTTGTTTTTCAAGTGAGTTTACCTGGTGTCTTACCTCCTTGTATATAGTACATAGAATGGTTTAAACCTTGGTTGATGGCATAAACTCATTAATAATGGCAACAGACCCTGGCCTCAGTGGCTGGGAGCCCATAGAGATTGGTGGGTTCCGCTATAATAGGAAAAGGTAGAATTCAGTAGGCAGAGAGGGAAAGATTAGGACCTGAGGTCCCTGGGTAGGGAAAAACACATACTTTGGAACAATGCTGGGAGTGTCTGAACAGCAAACCCCCTCAGGCTTATGGTTCCTCTTAAGAATATAGCAGACCCCACCTAATCAGGTTCCCTTTAGGGATTGACAAAAGACTTGATTAAAGTGATTAAAACTAAGTAGACTGGAAAACCTGTGACCCACTGGGAAGGGTATGGCCAAAGACCACCCCTCATACAATGGAGTTGAGCCAATCAGGAATGGACAACCCAGCACCTAGAGTTATCCAGCCAGTAAGGGTAGAACCTGAGAGGGAATAAGGGGGAAGGGGAGGGGGGAGGGGCCCATCAGAACCTTATAAAACAAAGACCTTTGCCTATTGTCAGCTGGTATTCACTTTCGAATGTCCTTTCTCGGTAAAGACATCTTTCCTACTATTCCTCCTTGCTAATCTTTTCCTTTGATAA